GAAATAAATTAAAAATTGGGTTAACAAATTTTTAATTTATTTCACTCATTTTCTTCATTTTTTGATTTATTTTACTCATTTTTTTATTTATTTCACCCATTTATTTATTTATTTAATTTTGGCTAAAACGGCTCTCCATAAATAATAACCCTGGATTTCAATGTTTTTAAACTGCAGAGTGGTTATTTTTGATCCTCTCCTGTAGTTCTGTTGGTGGTGCTGTATTTAGTTTTTACCACAAGGTGGCAGTAAGTGTCTGTACTCTCAGTAGAAGAAAACAATATGGCTACTTTTTATGTCATTAAAAACAGTTTTTTCAGCAGGATGTCATTTTTTGTATGCAAAAAATTATGAATAACTAGTCAAAAGCAGGGCAAACTCTATGCTTACCAGTAAAATATAATTATTTAGTCAAAGCTGAAAAACAGTCAGGCCTTTGTGTTACACACCGCTTTATGAAGAGAGCTTTATAAATAAAGTTTGAGTTTTATCATGAGAAAATTAAAGCAAGTCAGAGCCACAGGTAGGATTGTTTTCTATGAGAAGTCTTGACTCTTAAAAAAATCCAAGCCATATTTTTCTTTAATCAGTAATGATTCTGTCCTTAAATAACAATATTTGGAGGTACGGTTTGTGACCAGCTGCCATGTAGGTGTTTATACAGAAACAGCCACAGGGACTGAAAATAGGTCAACAACAGTGACGTTCATGGAGGAGTTTGTGATAGAGAAGTCAGACGGTTACATATTTACACTCAGATTCATATTCCCACCTAAATGTCTTCTCTGAGGTTTTACTCGTGTCTAACTCCAGCATGTTTGTTCACCTGCAGGACCTGCAGACGACCTGCTGTGGAGATCCCTAAAGAACAAGTTGTGTCGTCACATCAGTAAGTTGACTAATGAGACCTGTTTAAAGTTTTTTGGCTCACCGGTTCCTCTCAGGCTCCTCCCCTGCAGATATGAGGACAGTAAATTGTCCCTGATATTTGAATGGGGAAACATTTCCTTTCTTCTGCATTGCACCAAAACTTGAACCTGATTCAACTTTTTCCACCTTTTGTTTTTTCTTGTTTTTTTTTTCACCCTCTGCATCGTGATCCTTGCTGCATCAACAACAATCCGCCTGAAAGGAGGACGAGAACCTTGGTTTTCTCTCGAGGCTGAAGTCGAGCCAGTTTGTGGCCTTAATGGACTTCCCAAGAAAAAAAAAAATCGACGGTCGTTTTATTTCTTCTGTTTGCCGTCTGATAATCTGCGAGGCCCTGCCTGACTCATTTAATCTGTTTTTTTTTCTTGACATTTGTTATAAATACATATAAAATGAAAATGTCGTCTCACACCCACAGGACGGTTTCTTTAAGTCTCGAACATTTTAGCTGAAAGAACTCTTTCATCCCTAACAGAGGAAAAAAGGCTCAATTTAAAGGATAAAACTGCAGCTCTGGATAAGCCTATTACAGTGTGTGTGTGTGTGTGTGTGTGTGTGTGTGTGTGTGTGTGTGTGTGTGTGTGTGTGTGTGTGTGTGTGGGAGGTTTTTGGGTTTGTTGATTACTCATCACCAAACTAAGACAGCCAATCAGACGGAGTGAGTAAAGCCTGTGTGACTGATAGGGTTTCCTAACACAACAGATCAGACTGTTTCAGCCTCTCTCACTTCTTCTCTTTCATCTTTCTGCTCCTCTTTTCTATTTTTATGCTCTTTCCTTTTGTTTTTCTCGCTCCTCTTCAGCATTTTTTAATCTGTCCTCCTTTTGCCTTTTTTATTTTTCTCGTTTCGTCTGATCTGTTCTCTCCTCCTCGTTCTTCTGCACATACTTTGCTTCTCTTCAGTTCATCGCAGATTGTTTTTCCTCCCTCTGTTCTCCCCTTTACACCTCTCTCTCTCTCTGTCTGACACTCTCTTTCCTTCACCTCCTCCTCCCTCCCCTCCCTTTAAAGCTCCTTTCTTTGCCCGCCACCCCCTCTCCCTCATTATTCGCTATAATCAGTTGTCTAGACAGAGACTCCCCACTCAGATCACACCTGAGAGAGAGAGAAATGGACGGAGGGAGAGGTGGAAGGAAAGAAACTAAAGAGGAAATGAGATAGAGGAGGTGGTAAAATTGATTTACCTTTTTTTGTTTTTATTTTTGTCTCCTGAAGTTCTTCAAATGTTTGAAAAGGAAAACTGTCTGAAATAAAATTATTAAAGGAGGGAGGTGACAGAAAGAGGACAGGGAGGCAATAAGAGACAAACTCACGGATAAATCTGAAAAACATTATGTGAGGAAGAAAAACATAAAAGTACAGCCAAATAAAACATTTTTATCAAACCTTTGCTGCAAACAAACACAAAAAAAAATGAAAACAGAAACAAAGTTGGGGACACAAAAGACTGAAGGACCAAATCTCACTGGTAAACATCTACAGATCAAAAGGAAAATAAAATTCATAAAAAGCATCAACATCTCTGAACCAACATGTTTGGTCAGATGATGAGCTGATCTTATAGCTGCAGGTTGAAGGATGAGGTAGAGCGTAGCTTCAGTCCAGTGGCAGAGGTAGAGGGGTGTCACCTCTGGCACCATGGCCACCCCAATAATTAACAAGTGGGTGGGGATCGTAAATTTCATATTTGCATTTAGATTTTTTCCATTAACGTTTTTTTATGCGCATTTTGAAGCATTGCATCAGAAAAGCAGAACGGAAACGGAAAAATTTGCTTTAAATTTCTAAATTTCGCAAAAAAAGTTTTACGCTCGCTTGAAGTGGTTTTTGGATTTTCTGTAAAAGAGTTACTGCACTAAAGGGGAGGTGGAAACACATTTGTCAAATAAGTTGTGACGTGTTGAACATTGACCTGAATCAGCTGTTCCTGTTGTCCAATGATTGTAGTGGCTGCAGCTGGCTCCGCCTCCTACTGTCCGTGTCTTCCCAGATATTCCCGTAACGTGAAGAGAATTACATTTCTTTCTCTGTCTCCAGACAGCAGGAACATCACCAACACCAGCTGATATGAGAGAATAATTACAACGTTCCTGATAACTTCTCTCCATCGTCCTGTGATGCATCCCTGCGACTTTACTTCCTGTTTACTACTTCCTGTTTACTACAGCCATGCGTAACATCAACATCTGACGTAATTACACTTGTTGATTCGCTCCAAGCCAGTTGATGGAAACACGTCTGATTCACATTTCTTCTTTTTTGCGACATATTTTAAAAGTTCTCTCACAATTCATATTAATATTGGTTGGAAACACAACTATTGTTCTCTGATAATACTGTACTATATAAATGTTTTACCTGTGTTTGTTTAAAAATGGCTGAATTATGGTCCTTAGTAAAATTAGCATTAGTGGTAAGTCTAATTTGGGATTAGCATCGGCAATCGGTTCCACAACAAATTTACTCTCAGTAAGTCTTAAATAGCTGAATTATAGGCTTTGCCATCTTGAATTTGTCTACAATAATCTTTGTTTGTCTAAAAACAGCTGAATAATAAGTTGTGACTAGCATTCAGCATGTTTTTGATCAATCTTAGCTACGATCAATTAAAATTTCAGCTCAATATTTCTTAAAGTAGACATATGATGCTTTTAAATTCTTCCTTTTCACATTTAAATCCTTCAGTTGGGTCTTTATAAAGTGGAACTACAGCTTTGCTCTGAATTCCTCCTTATTCTAACTTTACCAGCTCCTCTTTCATCACTTTTCTGCTGTGTGTCTCAAAGCAGCTCGTTTTGTTACTGTTCCTTTAAGAGGCTTCAAGCCCCGCCCCCCTCCTGCTTCCAGACCGGTCCACTCTGGTTTGAGAGAGGGGGTTACATTTCTAGTTTGCAGAAACGTTTTATTTACAGTTTAATTAAAATATGTCAACAAGGGAAGACTTGTTCATCCAGCCTTACATGTTGGAGCCAGAGTCTGACC